GCGCGGGCGTGGGCCCCGACCGCCCAGAGCCTCGTCGTCGTCGTCGTCGTCGTCGTCGTCGTCCTCATGCTCCTGCGCCGCGGGAAGCCTCGCGTCGTGGTTTGAAGGTCGAAGGGCTGAGAACAACTGTTTGCTCGTTTGCGTGTTTGTTTGTGCGTCAGTTTCTGGCTTCCTGGGTGGCTCTCGTCGCCGCGGCAGGGGTGATTCTTGACCTCCGAGAGATTCTCACCCCCTGGCCGTACGCATCGTAAAACAAATCGTGTCGGTCTCCTGGGGTTCTGAACGGTCCCCAGGAACAGGGTGAAACGCCCGTCCCAAAGAGGGGGCGAGGCCTCTGGGGGCCCACGATTTCAACAAATCACGACGTCGGGTTCTGCTCCAGGCAGAGAAGGAGGGATGAGGAGGATGAGGGAATAATGAAGAGATTGAGAGCAAGATTGCATCGACACGACCCAAGAACCGCCGTCACTGGGCCCAAGGCGGCGCGCTCAGTCTGGCGGGGCGGGGCCGTGTGCACGCCTACCCGCAGGCGTGGCCTGGCTTCTTCTGGCGGCGCGAGTGGCTGCCCGTTCGGGTGCGGCCACACTCAGGTTTCGGATCGGCACTTCTGGGCCGAGTGCCCGAGTTTTGCTGGGCGTCGGCACGAACTCGGCGAGCAGCTGCGGATCGCGCCGGCCTGGTGGGGGGCGCAGCATCGTGTCAATTCGAAATCGGGGTGGATCACCAAGGCGGCCGGGGGCTCGGTCCAGCGCCGCGCTGAGCTTCAGGTGATGGCCTGCCGCCTTGGCATCGCCATCATGCAGGCTCTGGCCAGCCTGTCGGCGGGTGCGCCTTCGGGGACGCGGTCCCTTCCCTTCCCCTCCCCCTTCCCCTCCCCTCGCTGCCCCCGCTGGCGGGCGGCGGCGTGACGGGCGGCGGGGAGGCCGACGGCGACGCTGACGATCTTCCTCCCCCTTCTCCTGGAGGTGGTGGATGTGGTGTCGGTGCCTCCATGGGTGCTGGGAAACGATCAAATCAGCTCCGGTCGGGTCCCGTGGTCCGCCGGCCCATTTCCCGCTTCGCGCCAGGGGCTCCTGCGACCCGGAGGCTTCAGGGTTTTAGCAGCGCTACGCTCTGTTTTGAACAGCAGCCAGGGCAGAGGCACCCTGCTGCTTTCATTTCTAAGAGGGAGTAGGAGGAGGAGGAGGAGGAGGAGGAGGAGGAGGAGGAGGAGGAGGAGGAGAGGAGGAGGAGGGGAGGAGGGAGGAGGGAGGAGGGAGGAGGGAGGAGGAGGAGGGAGGAGAGGGGAGGAGGAGGAGGAGGGAAAGGAAGGGGAGAAGAGGAGGAGCAAGAGGAGGAGGAGGAAGAGGAGAGGGAGGAGGAGAGGGCTTCTGACTTGTTTTGGGGGTTAGGGGGTCTATGGCCTGCTCCTGCTGCTCTTCTACTTGTCCTTTCCTTGTCACATTATGCCTTGCGGTCGCGATCCCATAACATGGTGTACCATTGCGCAACACAGCGTTACATATCAATGGAATGGCGCAGCACTGAACGATATAGGGAGACACATAATGGCATGCCACAGCGTGGCCGCAGAATGGGAAAGCATGGCGTTACATGGCCGACGCAGGGAGGAGGTGGGTGGGGAGGAGAATCGGAAGGGGGGGAGGGAAGGAGGGAGGCTCGGAGGAAGGGAGCGAAGGGAAGGAGGGAATGTGGCGGGTGGGTTTGGGGCGGGAGCGGGGTGGTAGAAGATGTGACGCTTGGGGGAGAGGTTCGGAGGAGTCCGTTTGTCTGACGGCGCGCACGGATGACCTTCCAACCAGGTCAACTTGCTCCGTCGCCGTCTCTCTATCTATAAGGCCACGCCGTGGCGGCCAGCAGCTCGCACTCTCCTCCTCCGCAGCGCCATCAACTTCCTCTTCCTCGTTGTTGTCCTGCTCATATCCCTCGTCCTCCCTGCCGTGCCTCCCTGGAGCACGGGTCAGGCACACGTGGCCGCCATTGTCACCACCAGCATAATCGCCATCGCCATTGCGTGACCACACTCGTCACCAATAGGGCAGATAGCATCATCGTCGGCATTCCCATGACCGTCCCCATGCCCACCCCCAGCATCAATACTGACAGCTGAGCCATCGACAGCAGCAGCAAACATATCATCACCATCATCATCCTCATGGTGGCGCTGCTGTTTTAGCCCAAGGCTCACACTTCGCGACGAGCACGAGTTCCCAAGCCTCCAAAGCTGCCCCGACGCGTACAAGCATTGCACGATGGATGGCTGAAATCAGCTTGACCCAGTATTTCGGAGTTTGAGCTCGATATTTTGCATCTACGAATTGAGCGAGCGATCTTTTCAATGTTGCTGTGCACTGCGGTCGACGTGGGTCCACTTGTCCAGATCTGTGCGCCGGACAAGGGTTTCGAAACGGCGGATGCTGTTTTAGGCGCTCTTCACGCCCGGTTCTGTTAAAATTGTTTTTCGGGCTCCAGGCCAACGTCTACTACGATTCCATCCCGCATAGTCGGTGCGCAGTGGTGGGCCCCCCCGAGAGTGCGCCGTTCGCGCGAAAACTGTTCGCGCGAAATCTGCGGCCTTTCAAGCGAAATCGTTTCGGAGTGTGCAAGCGAAAAGTGATGAAGCGCTGTGGATTCCTCACTGATCCTTTTCGTGGCCCCCTCTTCTCTGATAGCACCCTCGTCCTCCCTTTCCTCCTCCTCCTCCACCTTCTCCGTCGCCTCCGCCTCCTCCTGGGAAAGCACGGGGAACTCGCGGCAATCCCGAGCAGGAGATACAATTCGACAAGACAGGCTCGGGCCCGCCCGCCATCGCGCTAGGCCGGGCAGGAGGAGTGGAGAGAAGAGAAGGGAGAGGGGGGAGAAGGAGAAGGATGAAACGGACGATGAGGAGGAGGAAAAGAGAGACTGGGCTCCAGTCGAGGAGCTCGGCGTTCGAACTTGTTTCGCCCAATTTGAGCCTCTGGGGGGCTTCTCGTCGCCTTTCGCTGGATTCCTTTTACAATCCCCTCCAAGGAGCACCCCGGGAGAGCTGTGCGAGGTCGGCTCGGCTTCCTGCTCAGCGATTTGCTCTCCCTGGGCCTGTGAACGCACATCGCTTGCACAGCCCGACTGGCAGCCACCCCCACGGCCGGAAGGCCCGCAAAGGTCCGAGCCGATGAGGGCGACGAGGACCCTCCAGGGCACGGCGACGGGGGAGGGCGCCTTCCGAGAATAGGCAATCACATGTGAAGCTCTACCCCTGCAGGTCGGATGTCTGATAAACTGGCCAGAGCTCAGCAAATCCCAGCGGGGCCGTCCGAGAACGCCACAGCGGCGGCGGGACCCGCAAGGGCAAGGTTCGCGAGTGGGTGCGAAGAGAAGGTAGGGGGTTCCTTTGAAGCTTTGAAGGAGTCAGTCCCCGCGCAGAGGCTCCGGAGAAGGATCAGATCAGAAGGCAGGGAGGGCCTCCCGAAGAGCAGGTGCCCCCTCGGACAGCCACCGCCTTCGCTCCGCCACCCCGTGGGCGCCGACAGTGGCGGCCCCAGAAGTCTCCACAGGCCTCCGCCAGCGGTGTTTTTTTCACCGCAGAACATCTGACCACCTCAGCTTCGATGCCTGCGATACACGTCAGCGAAGCTGCGCTACAGCCTGAAACGGAGGAAAAAATAAACGGCCGCAGATCCGCGAAGACACTCAATGCCCCGTGCGAGCAAACAAAACGCGCCGTGAAACGAGTAGGCAACGGTACCTAGAAACGAGGAGGAGGAGAAAGCGCAGGACAGCGCCCCCAGAGAAGAGGAGGAACAACTACGAGGCTGCAGCACACTGTGCATGTACCCCCGCTGACGCCCACGTCAGTGGTACCTCACACAGAATTGGAGCCACAAGCAGCAGAGAGAGAGAGAGAGCAGAGAACAAGAGAAAAACAACAACAACGGAAAAGAAGCCAGGCCAATAATGATCAATGTTTTGCAATGGAGCCAGGTAGCCACCATGCGCGAGCACTCCCAAGGCGGCAGGAGGACGAGCCCTGCACAGTTGTCGGGGTCGGGCGCCAGCGGCCAGGCAGGAGGCCCGCCATTGCACAGGGCGGGAGACGAATGCCCCAATTTGATGGAACAAACTAACAGAACCAAGGGGAAGAAAAGAGAGAAAACCAGGGGGGACATTCTGGAACAACTCGCAAACCGTGCACATCACTTCGTGCCGATGACCCCTGGCCCAAGACGGACGCCCTCCTGCCCATCAAGGACGCATCGAAGTAGAACCAGGCCGCGCTGGCGTCAGTGCGGGCGTCAGTGCTGGCGTCGTCACTGGCGTAGTGGCCGGCGTTGGTGTCGGCGCGGCGCCGCGGAATACTTCGGCGGGAGGTCTGGACGAAAGGCGTACCGCAGAACGCACTGCCGGGTTGGTGTTGACGTTGGCGCTGGCGTTGGTGCGGGCGTCAGCGCTGCCGCTGGCGCTGGTGGAGGCGCTGGCGTGGGTGCCCGCGTAGGCGCATCGATGAAAACCGTCGTGACGTAGCCCAGGGACACAGTGCCGATGGGATCAGTGGTGCAGTCGATGGAGTCGGTCTGTGAAGCACGGCGGAGGTCAGCAGGATTATAGCCGTTTGCCGTCGTTCACGTCGTGACGCTGGCCCCACGCCCGTCCGCCGAGCAGGCCTCCGCCAGCGGGGTCCACCCTGAGATCCTGGCGCTTCCACGCTTTCGAGCCAAGCGATTTCGCCCACGTTCGGGCCCCGGGACCCTCGCACATCGATCTGGCTCGCACATTTGCGCGGAATGATGGGGTCCTGGGCTCTGGCCGCCACTTGCTTTTCTAAGTCCTGCTCCTCCTCCTCCTCCTCCTTCTCCTCCTCCTTCTCCTGCTCTTCCTCCTCCTTCTCCTGCTCTTCCTCCTCCTCCTCCTCCTGCTCCTCCTCCTCCTCCTGCTCCTCCTGCTCCTTACGATCCTTACGATGTCGACCCAATGGTCTCCGAGAGGGGAGACCGTGGCCGCACCCCTCTCCTCTGCCCCTCAGAAGCCGAAGTAGAGGTGGTTTGTGAACTGGTTGCTCGTGAACTGGTCCCCGCGGCGGCCGTCAGAGTGCTCGCAGCGCGAGTCGTCCTGGGGCCGCGCGTTCGCATGGCATCTATCGTCCTTGCGGCGGCTGTCGAAGTGCTCGCAATGCGAGCCGTCCTGGGGCTGCTGGAAGGGGGTCGGAGGCTCGGCCTCCGTCGGTCTGCCGATCGCGTCCCAGCTGCTTCTCGCACGCGCCCGTACCTGCCAGGCAGCGGCCGCCACTGCCCGCAGCCGTTGGCAGCTCCCGCGCGCACGAGTCCCCGCCTGTAGCTGAAAATGTCTGCGTCTCCGTTGTCGCGCCACTGCCCGCTGCCTCGGTATCTTCTCGCACTGGCGTCTCCCGGCCTGTGGCGGGTGCTGGCTGGCCTCCGCTGCCACTGTTGCCCTCCTTCCGCTGCTGCCACTGCGTGCCACTCTCCTGCTGCCATTGCCCAGGCTGCCCGCTCTCGCGCGTTAGCGCACGTGAGCAACTCGTGAGGAAAGGCGCGCACTGCGGGTCGTCTGCGATCACGGCGCGCGGATCGTCGGGGACCCACGTGGCCATGTCGTCGCAGTCGAGGCGGTCCCAGGCCTCGGCGTAGGGGGCGTTCCCGCTCGTGGCGCCTGCTTGTTGTGTGAGCCACTGTTGGAACCTCACGAAAGCCGAGAGCTCGATGATCGACATGTCGGTGTAGGAGGTCTGCAGATCCTCAGGGGGCGAGACGAATGTTGCTCGGGCACCCGCGACCTGCACTCGAGTCAGGCGCGCACGCCAGATCGCAAGGGTGTCCGATGCCGCGAGCTCGTCCTCGTTTTCGTCCTCGAGCTGTTCCTCGAGGTCTTCCTGGAATACTGTCCACGGTCTTCGTACGGACTGCGGGATCTTGCTGCTCTCCCACGTTGCGGTTGGCGAGGATTCTTGTGGGTGTGGACGCACGACCGATGCGTCGCTGAGCTGTTTGTGTTTCTCGCTTTGCGCGCGCTCAAGTTCAGCACGCTTCTCGCACGCTAGGTTCTGGCTTGTGTCTTCGCCTGCCCGCTCCTCTGTCAGCCCTTCGCAGCCGTAGGCTTCGCTCTCGCCGCCGCCGCCTGTTCCCCTCGGGCCTGCCGCGGCGCCGGCCAGACAGTGGCCGCCGCTGCCCGCAGCCGTTGGCGCTTCTCGCACAAAAGAGTCCCCGCCTGTAGCTGAAGGTGTCTGGGCCCCCTTTGTCACGCCACCACTGCTCGCACCACTGCCCGCTGCCGGCAGCCACTGCCGGCTGCCACTGCCCTGCCGCTGCCCACAGCCACTGCTCGCGCCACAGTCCGCACCACTGCCCGCTGCCACTGCTCGCACCACTGCCCGCTGCCACTGTTCGTCGAGGGGCTCGGGGTCGTCGAAGGGTGTCGAGGGGCGTCTGGGGTCGTCGTCGAAGGGGCGTCGAGGGGCGTCGAGGGTCGTCGAGGGGCGTCGAAAGGCGAGGGGGCGTCGAGGGGCGTACAGGGAGGTCGACGGGGGGGGTCGTTGAGGGACGTCGTCGGGGGGCGTCGTCTAGGGGCGTCGAGGAGGGTTCGTCGAGGGCCGCTGCACTCCCCATGCTCGCGCCGCTGCCCGCTGCCACTGCCCGCTGCCAGTGCCCGCTGCTCGCTCCACTGCCGGCTGCCGCTGCTCGCAGCTTGGTCTGCCAGCTTAGTTCCACTGCTGGCTGCCGCAACCCGCTGCCACTGCCGGCTGCCGCTGCTAGCTCCACTGCCCACTGCCCGCTGCCACTGCCCACTGCCCTCCTTCTCGTCGGTGGGGCTTGGGGGCGGGGGCGCGCCGTCGGACATGGTGTCCTGGGGCGTGTCGTCGTCGGCTGGGCCGTCTGAGTCGGGCGTGGGGTCGTCGAGGGGCGTCGGGGGACGTAAAAGGGTCGTCGAGGGGCGTCGAGGGGTGTGGGGGGTCGAGGGGGCGTCGTTCGTTGGCGTCTGCAGCTGATGACGTCGGCCTTGCTCGCTCTTCTCGCGCGCGCTGCTCTCATCGCTGTTGCTGGTGGTCTCGGGCTCCAGCTCCGAGTCGGAGGATGATGGCGTCTGCTTTTCTCGCACGCGCTGCCCCAAGCCTGTAGCTGATGGCGTCCAGCACCTAGCCTGTAGCTGATTACGTGCTGCTCGCTCTCCTCGCAGGCGGCTGCTCCCAGAGTCCGAGCCTGTAGATGGTGACGTCTGCTCTTCTCGCAAGCGCTGCTCCGAGCCTGCTGCCTTTGCCCCTTCTCGCACATGTATGTCCCAGCTGGTAGCTGATGACTGTTTCTCTCTTCGCGCACTCTCTGGTTCTGCACCGCTGCGCGCGCGCTCTGGTTCTGCACCGATGGGTAGAATTCCCCGATCGGCGGCGGTAGCATTCCCCGATGGGCGATCTCGGGCTCCAGCTCTGCGTCTGTAGCTGATGGCGCCTGCTCTTCTCGCGCCTGCGAGTCCAGCTCCGAGTGTTCGCCCTCGCACCAAGAGGTATATGTGATGATGTCTGGAAGCTGCCATTGCCAGCAGAACTCTTGCCCGAATTCAGGAAGCTCGCAGCTTGTGTGGACCGCATTATCGATGTCCGACATGCGAGAAAAAAGATTCGATTGGCGTGTATGAGGGTGCCTCGGCCCGCAGCTGAGAAGCGCTCTGAACAACTGCTGGCTGCTCGCTGCCGAGTTGGATGGCAATATCTTTCCAGTCACGCATACTTGCGCGCCTTCCTGTTCTGACCGCGTATCCCACGCGGCGAACCGCCTTCACTGGCGGTCTCGACGATCTCCTCACGAGTCGTCGGTTGCTCCAAGTCTCGTCCATGGTCTTGATGAAAGCGAGAAAGAGGAAACAAGCTAATGCGTCAAGACAACGCGGCGCCTGCTGGGAAGCGCGCGCCCGGGGTCGGCCCGCGCGGCCGCCCGACCCAGTGGCCGCCGAGGGCCGACGGGGGGGCGGCGCGGATTCGGGCCCCCGATGGCCCTCCTCCTGCTCCTCTTCCTCCTCCTCCTCTTTTTCCTTCTCCTCCTTCTCCTCCTCCTCCTCCTTGAGCACGCAGCGCGGGGCGCAGGAACCGCAGCTCGGCTACTCCCTCGCCCCGCGACTAGCAAGAACGGGGACTCCTGCGCGGCCCAGGCAGCAGCTCGCGGCAATCCCGGTCCCCCGCCAGCCGCGGGGCGCCGGGGCGCCAACCAGAGGTCAAAATCTCCACGCCCAACCCTAACCTTCCAGAGAGCTATTTTTTAGCACGGGAGGCCTAAACATCCAACAAACAAACGAAACAGCCTAAAACCAAAACATAGAATAGCTCTGGGATCGGTGTTTAAGTCGCGTGCAATTTTTTTGCCCTCCTGGAAGGTCAGGGAAGGTTCCAGCAGCTGGCGGGAACAGGCATTTCCGCGCGTTCCGGACAGGAGCTCTCCAAAGTCCCGCTTCCCCGCCTGCCGCGGGGCGCAAGGGCGCAAGGAGCCAAGATTTCCGCGCCCCTGCGCCCGGCAGCTGGCGGGAACCGGGATTTCCGCGCGTTCTGGACAGGAGCTCTCCAAAGTCCGCCTGCCGCGGGGCGCGGGAGCGCAAGGAGCCAAGATTTCCGCGCCCCTGCGCCAGGCAGCTGGCGGGAACCGGGATTTCCGAGCGTTCCGGACAGGAGCTCTCCAAACCCTGAGGGTCTTTGGGCTTAGATTTTTGAGCCCCACGTTTTGGGCTTATCTTGTGTTGGGCTTAAATTTGAGATATACGCCCAAAACAGCACTTCGCGAACGGGCGACAGTCAACGGAACATATATGTTCCGTTGCGACATCCGTCCACATATGGACGGATATCTCAATCTGAGGTCGTTGCCCACGCGATATCGCGTGGGCAACGACCGCGCGTGAAATTGCCGCGCATGAAATTGCCGCGCGCGAGCGGGGCAATTGGCAGTGGGCGGATGCGAAATCGTAAATGTGAAACACACGCGCCGAAATTGTTGAGATCTTTTTGGGGGTATACCGAACTTGTTCGAGTTTCTGGGTTGCTGCAGCCTGAACCAAAATGGTTCGAGTCCATTGCGCAACGTGGGGTCGCGCGAATCGCGGCGCTAGGTAACGCCAGCAAGAGTATCACGTAGTGCGTAGTTCTACTTCGGGACACTTGCGCAAGGCGGAACAAATGCGCAACAGAGCCTACCGTAGTCATCCGCGGGCTCGTAAGCTTGGCGAGCGAGCGACACAGACACACCACAGCACCACACAGACGCAACACCAGGAGGAGAGAGAGGAGGAGCACCATCATAGTGGGCAAACAATTGAACGACCCGCAGCCCGAGCTTTGGCGGGCACAAGTCGCGGGAAAATAACCGTGCCGTTTTGGGGCGCGGAAGGAAAACGGCACGGTTTTTTTGTTTGGTTTTTCCACGCGGAATGGCCCTCCAGGCCCCCCTGGGCGAGGCCCCGCGGACCGTGGGAAAACGGCTGGCAAGACCGAATCAGAAGAGGAAAAGAAGAAGGGAGGAAGAGGGCGGGCGCAGAAAAGGCTGGAACCGTGGCGGTTGCAGACCGCGCGGCCTTCCTGATGGTTGTAGTGTGTTGGTGGCAATGCTTGTGGTAGTGGTAGTGACAGTTGTGATGGTTGTAGTGGTGGTGCTCGTTCTTGTAGTGCAGTGGTAGTGATAGTGACAGTTGTGATGGTTGTAGTGTGTTGGTGGCAATGCTTGTGGTAGTGGTAGTGACAGTTGTGATGGTTGTAGTGTGTTGGTGGCAATGCTTGTGGTAGTGGTAGTGACAGTTGTGACGTTTGTAGTGGTGGTGCTCGTACTTGTAGTGTAGTGGTAGTTGTAATGTGTTGTAGTGTGTTGGTAGACGCACTCGAATTGTTCACGCTTCGCGAATCCCCACCAGCCCATCCTAAAACAGCCACTTTAGCAAAGAGTACCGACTGTCGGGATTTGTTTGTCAATTATGCCCAGAGGAGTTGCTTTGATTCGATCAGGGAAGTGTGGGAGCATACAGAGAAACGAAGGACAGGGGATGCCGCCATATCCCAAGAGGGGAGGATGGAGGAGGAATCGGAGGAGGAGGTGGGGGAGGGGAGGAGGGGGGAGGAAAAGGGGGAGGCGGACGAGGAGGGGAGGACGAGCAGAAGGGCCAGAGGCCTCTTGGATGCATCGCGGAGTCTCTTGGGATGTCTTTTGGGAGCCTCTTGGAGGCCTTTTGGGGCGTCTTGGGGGCCTCTTGGCGGCCCCAGGGGCTTCTAGGAGCGTCTTGGGTGCCTTGGGGGAGCCTCTTCGGGCCTCTTGGGAGCTTTTTGGAGGCCGTTTGGGGCGTCTCGACAGCGGGCCTGCTCGGAAATCCCATCATGGGGGTCAGCACGAACACCTGGACCACGAGGACCCCCGTCCGCACACGGGAGATCGTGATGATGATGATGATCGTGATGATCGTGATGATGATGATGATGATGATGATGATGATGATGATGATGGTGGTGGTGATGAAGATGAGCATGCATTATTTCCTTTTTATTGCTCTAGCATTCGTTTGCGTTTGCGTGAAGATACGCACTTCGACCACGTTTGGAGCACGCGTCGGGCCCAGACCAAGCGGTGAGCCCGCTGGGCCACTGGCACGAGCTCTCCATTCAAGGATTCGTCCTCCCAACACGCGTAGCGCCCAGGCCCGCCGTGCCACAGCAAACGAGCACCCAGCTCCAGAAACATATGGTGTTTGAACTTGGGGTCGATGCCAATACGGGGCAGGCACCGCGCGTGAGCCTTGGCATGGTCCATGAACGCCTGGTGATCCTCCTCCTCCTCCTCCTCCTCCTCCTCCTCATCTTCCGCATCCTCCTCCTCCTCCTCCTCTTCCTCTTCCTCCTCCTCCTCTTCCTCCACCTCCCCCTCCTCCTCCCCCTCCCCCGTATCGCCACCCGTCGTCGCCGCCGGCCTCGGCGTCGCCAGCATCCACCACGGGGCAATCACCCATCTTCTTGATGAGGCGCAGCACCTCTCTGAGAGAAACACCTGCAACGTTCAAATCAAGGAACAACGTGCGATCTAAGAAACTCTGTTTTGTTTGCACAAGGTCGACAACAAACTTTGTGAACGCAACGGTTTCGGCTCCATGCAAACCTATCTGGTGGTGGTACGACGAGCCAATCATAGAAGTCGTTAGATTTTGGACCCGTGTATGGTCCTTGCGGCCAGCAGCAACTTCTTTTGCGTACCACCTGAACAATTCCGCACGCAAGCTCTTGACCGACGCATCGAGCATCACTGATTCTGGTGCGTTGGACACTTGGAACGCATTGGCACTAATGAGGGCGTGAGCAGCACGAGAACAGAAGTATTTGCAGACACCGAGCGCTACAGTGTGCAGGGTATCCACACCCAGCACATGGGCAGGCACCACGCCCAGACAGACAGAAAACAGCGGGTTCCTATGTCGGGCTGCGGTTTCTTGCGAACGCCTCCAAAACGTTGCAACGAATGGCCTTGGCCTTGAGAAAAACGAAGACACAAACATCACGCTTGGAGTGGGTTCGAGCCTGTCACCGATTTGCAAATTCACTCCACCCACGGCCACGTCAGCGACCAACGCCCAACCTCTAGACTTGTCTTTCCGCCTGTCTGGGCGCAACGCGGCTCTAAGCAGAGGGAATGTCTCGTCCGTCACGCCAACCGTAATCTCGCAGCGACTGCAGGCGTCAGAATATTGTTGCCAAGTCTTGGCGACATCATTGCCTAAAGCACTGAAGTGGCGAATGCCTGGAAGCGATGCAGTTGGCAGCGTGCAAAGGGGGCACGGATGTTCAGATGAGCTGCAGCCTGGTAACCCCATGGTCGTTGCATACTCTGCAATGTCACACTTGATCAAGATAAGCGCCACGATGAAACCGAGCGGGGTCCCAGCCAGACCAGCTCTATCTGCGTCGTCGTCCCAATTACTGCCGTCGTGCCGTCGATCGGGGCATCTGTTATCAGCGCAAGCCTGGAAAGACCAGCTGAGAAGCGTCATCAGGGGAAGCACCGTGCACCAGCCCAGGCAGCCACGCGCGCACATTTCAGACTTTCTCAACACAGCCACCAAAATTCGTTTGCCGCTGTGGACTAGATAGGTCCACACGCCCACGAGACCGTCGTGGCGAGCAAAGGGCACTCCGTCCACGAAGAGCGCAGCAGGCAATACAACAACTCCAGCAGGGGCGCCCTGCACGACAGGGTGATCGTAAAAAGAACGAGGGAGCTTGCCCTGTTCACGATCGGCCGCGGCGCGGCGTAACAAGCTGGGGTCGTCCCGAACCTCGTCGACGAAAGCTTCATGAGGCAGAACTGCAGGAAGTCGCAACTCGACGGAAGAAGCATCTGCACGTAATTGACCAGACGCTGTAAATGTGTACATCGAATCATTACATATATCTTTATTGACCACGCAGTCGAAATGCTTGGAATACGCACCGCTGCTTTTGTTCGGCCCGAAAGCCAACGACCGTATCTCGCCAAGAGCGCCCGACTTCGAGGCCCAGAATGCGATGATGCAGGCTGTTTTCGCCGAGATCGTGCCGCTATGTTTCAGGGCGACAATGTAATCAAAGAAACACTCCTGAGCTATGTCAGGT